TGTGTATGGTAAATGGTAATCTGATTTAACTATTTTCATCTCTTTCAGTCTAGCTCAGCTGGATCCTGCCTTTGCTACCACCTGCTCACACTTCATTTATTCACCGACATGTATTATATAATTTCGAAATCTGTAATTCCCAGGTACACCTCCAGCATTTCAGCCTCTTCAATGATCCCTCTGTTGGAGAACATTTCATAGGGAATGATCTCCCTGCGGTGCCTTATTGCAGCACAGCACTTATTCAATCAGAGGAAAATGTATAGAATTCTCAGCACTAACACCAGGTGCTCTGCTATGATATACACAGTTACAAGGTTTACTGCACAAGCCCACACTTTCCAACTTGGCAAGCCAGTAATGGAAGCCTGCAAACTTCTACTGTATAGCTTACTTTGCAGAAAAACACTTGATCAAAGCTTTGAGGGGTTTTAGGGAAGGGTCAGCCTTTCCCAACCTTTTGAACACAGAGGAAACCTTGAAATAACTTTTTGGGTCTCAGGCAGGGGCAAATTTGCCACAAGGCAAATAAGGCATTTAACCGAATAAATATATACCCTCCTCCTTTACACCCCTCAAAAAGTCATACTTCCTCCATAGAAAGTGCAATACTATATATAACCTTTTTGTGATATATTACAATAAATAAAATAAACTAAATTAAAACAAAGTGTTCAAATAAAAATCACAAAAGTCCAAAAAACCAAAAGTGTCCAAAACAAATGTCCAAAAAAAGTCCAAACAATGTCCAAAAAAGTCCCAAATTTTCAAACTTTTTCATCAAATAAAAGGATTGACTTCTATTTCATCCAGTAAGAACCTCAAAATAAAAACATACAAAATCTAGTGCATTACCATAGTAAACTAAAGTAATCACCCAGTGCAACTCTCAATATAGTGCAAAAATTATATATATATTTATATAATAAATGAATAAATTATTCAAATCAAAAAATCCTTTCTTATAGTGCGCATAATCACACAAATCAACTGTGAACACTCAGTGGTCACTACAACTCTATGCACACCATCAACCAGCACACAATAGTACTAAATACTATTACCCTCTGTGAGTATTGAAAAGCTTTAACAATACTATGGATCAGAAATTCTCCATACTCTCTTCAATGGCATTTTTCCAAGGTCCTCAGAAAGATAAGAATGGTCTCAGGACTGATATTCAAAGCATAGGGATAGATTTAATAATCACTTACATTTAAAACATAGACATTTCAGCTCCAGACATGGCTCTAGGCAAGTTCCACCAAACAATGTACCTTTTGTGATTTTTATTTGAACACTTTATGTTTTAATTTAGTTTATTTTATTTATTGTAATATATCACAAAAAGGTTATACAGTTGCAAGAAAACGTATGTGAACTCCTTGGGATTACGTGGAGTTTTGCATGAATTGGGCATAAAATGTGCTCTGAACGTCATCTAAGTCACAACAATAGAAGAACACAGTCTGTTGAACATAATACTACACAAACATTAGATGTTGCCATGGTTTAATTGCACATAACACGTAAACATTCACAGTGCAGGGAGGAAAAAGTATGTGAACCTTTGGACTTAATAACTGGTTGACCCTCCTTTGGCAGCAATAACCTCAACCAAACGTTTCCTGTAGTTGCAGATCAGACCTGCACAACGATCTGGAGTAATTTTGGACCTCTCCTCTTCACAAAACTGTTTCAGTGTAGCAATATTCTTGGGATGTCTGGTGTGAATCACTCTCTTAAGGTCATGCCACAGCATTTCAATCGGGTTGAGGTCAGGACTCTGACTGGGCCACTCCAGAAGGCGTATTCTGTGCTGTTGCAGCCATTGTTTAGTTGAATTACTTGTATGCTTTGGGTCATTGTCCTGTTGTATCACCCATCCTCTGCGGAGCTTCAGTTGGTGGACAGATGGTTGTACATTTTCCTGCAAAATGTCTTGATAAACTCTGGAATTCATTTTCCCATCAATGACAACAATCCGTCCAGGCCCTGAGGCAGCAAAGCAGCCCCAAACCATGATGCTTCCTCCGCCATGTTTTACAGTGGGGATGAGGTTTTGATGTTGGTGTGCTGTGCCTTTTTTTCTCCACACACAGTGTTGTGTGTTCTTCCCAAACAACTCAATCTTGGTTTCATCTGTCCACAGTATATTTTGCCAGTAGTGCTGTGGAACATCCAGGTGCTCTTTTGCAAACTTCAAACATGCTGCAATATTCTTTATGGACAGCAATGGCTTCCTCCGTGTCCTCCCATGTACTCCATTCTTGTTTAATGTTTTCCTTATTGTAGATCTGTCAACAAAAATGTTAGCATGTGCCAGAGATTTCTGTAGGTCTTTAGCTGACACTCTGGGATTCTTCTTTACCTCATGCAGCATTCTGCGCTGTTGTCTTGCAGTCATTTTTACAGGAAGACCACGCCTAGGGAGAGTAGCAACAGTGCGAAACTTTCTCCATTTGTAGACAGTCTGTCTTACCGTGGACACATAAACATCAAGGCTTTTGGAGATACTTTTGTAACCCTTTCCAGCTTCATGCAAGTCAACAATTCTTGATCGTAGATTTTCTGAGAGCTCTTTTCTGCGAGGCATGGTTCACATCAGACAGTGCTTCTTGAAACCAGTAAACCCAAAACAGGTGTGTGTTTTTTTAAGGGCAGGACAGCTGTCAGCAACACATCCAATATCATCACACTGATTGGAGTCAAGGTTGGCTCACTCCTGGCTCCAATTAGCTCTGGGAGAAGTCATTAAGCTAGGGCCTCACATACTTTTTCCTCCCTGCACTGTGAATGTTTACATGTTATGTGCAATTAAACCATGGCAGCATCTAATGTTTGTGTAGTATTATGTTCAGCAGACTGTGTTCTTCTATTGTTGTGACTTAGATGACGTTCAGAGCACATTTTATGCCCAATTCATGCAAAACTCCACGTAATCCCAAGGGGTTCACATACTTTTTCTTGCAACTGTATATAGTATAAAATAAGGCATTTGCCTGGGGCGGCATTTTTCAGGGGGGCAGCACCGCCCCCGGAAGAAGAGACACTTGTGGCATGGGGACCAGGTGGGATCTGAGAGAGGCCGTGGGCCGCTTGATGGTGTATGCAGAGCCTGACTCTCGTTCCTGGGGGTGCCCAGAGCTGTGAAGGTATGTATCTTTCTCTCTTTCCATGATGTGTGTTAGCGAAAGACTCTCTCGGGGGGGTTGTTGGTCAATGTCAGGCTCTCTCCATGAAGGGGGGGGCGTCCAATTTTTGCGTTGCCTAGGGCAGCACAAAGCCTAAATACACCACTGGTCTCAGGGAACCCCTGCTAAAAAATGACTTTATCTACAAATCATGATACATTAGTGAGATGGTAAGTGGGAAGAATGGTACTTACACTTGTGATCATTGGAAAGAATTACCCCTTTATAGATAGATAACAATATCAGTGATGTTAGTGGGAACCCCTAGCAACTGCAGGAGGAACCCTGGTTGAGAAATCCTGCTCTAGATCCAAAGAGATGGTGTGGCTTTCAGGCCAATTCCATATGTGCATAGAATGTATGGGTAGGGTTCCCTTAACTAATGCAGTGCAGGGACAAGAGATGGGCAGGAGGGACAGCCACCCAGACACAGTAGTGGAATGGGTGGCACCTCCTCACGCCATGCAAATCTGTGACTAGCAGCCAGTGGGCCGCAGCTTCATGTCTTCGTTAACAGCCAGTACTGTCATACTGTGCTCCAACCTGTGCACTCTCCACCCCATCTGCTCAAAGCTAACACAGAACCAAACTGCATGTGCAACTGCCATTTATCTGCTAGAAAGCAAACAATTGGCCATGCATGTGCAGTGCACACTCCATACGAACTATAGACAGCCGTCCAATGGTGGCAGAGAATGGACACATGGTGGTACACCCATTCTAAAACGTGTTAGGAGAGGGCGAGTTTATATACACTGAATATTATTTGCAGCCACTCGGTGATCCCTGGAGCTGCAGTTGAAGCCCCCCCTATATTCGGGAAGCTGACCACCACTGTGATGTCTGCCGACATCCTCGTTGTGCACAGGACTGCTAAAGATACTGCTGCTGAACGTTAATAAATCAATGAAAAAATGATAACATGAAATGTACACAGGAGGTTTTATTTACAAGTGTTCATTTTAATCAAACATCTTTCTATTCATGCACAGTGAACATCCTGGATGGGTTTAGGACATTAAGACAATACATTAAGCAGGAACAATGCACTGGGTGTCATTTACAAAACCTGAGGCAAAGAATAAAGACAATCAAGCTTTTCATAGCAGCTTACCATGGAAAATGACAGCTGGAATCTGATTATTATGGGTCATGCGTCCACTTCCTCTGCACTAGTACGTTTTATTAATGAGCCCAGCAGAGTTTTAATATTATAGAAGAAATTGGTAAATGGCTGAATTTTATACCTGACTGAAGACGGTGGTATTCCAGGACAAACAGAGGAAACTAGAATGTTAAAATAAGGTGGCCTGCATTAATTCAGGCATGACGATAATCAAAGTTTCCATCTCACATACTTTTAGTTGTTTTTTTCCCCCATCTTCCTAGCAGAGCTGCCTATGCCAATAGGATGTTAGAATTTTATTGTGGTTTTATATCTGGTGAATTGGAATGACCAGGAACTAAAATGGGAACCATGAATGATATATAATCTTTTTTAAAACAAGGTAAAAAATTCCCTTCAGGCAAATACTTTAAAATATCTAAATCACCCCCAGAAACAGTTCAACCTGGTAAACCCTGGGCATTAGCACCGAATACAACTAATCTCTATAAATCCAGCCAGTGGGATCTTTACAGTCACAGTGTATGTTCTTGTTTCTCTAGATGTCTGCATAGAGCGTATAGCTACATCCACAGACACGTGTATCCAAACATATGTCCAACAACTTGAGTTTCTTCTTTTTTTTTTGCTGAAAGGCGCAGGAGGTGAAGAGGATGAAGGTCAGAGTTCACTGGACCAGCTTACATGTGCTCAGGGTGATTCTGGAGGCATGTAATAAACTCTGTTACAGGTTTTCCTTCATAGCAGATCAGATATACAGCAGTGAAGAGAGGAAATCTGCAAAAGACAATGAAGGAGTATTGTCAGCATGGCCATGGGGCTGGTCAGTAATACTGGATAGTTAGACTTGAGGACCAGACAGGTTTAAAATGGAAATTGTACCTTCAAAACCCATTAGCTGTTTGAGACAGTCAGTGACAGAAAGCAGCCTTATAAATATAACCTCTAAAGCCGATCAATACATATATTGAAATTTGGCCAGCCAAATTTCAATCCATGTATGGGAAGGAAGGTTGTACAGAAGTTGACCTACCAAATATGTGAATGGGAGTAGCAGGTCAGTGTTTTTTTCATTCAACATGCTGGTTAACTAAAAAAAAAAAAAAAAATAGGTCCATCTATGGGCTACCATCAAGTTGGTCATAGACGGCTGGCAGATTTCTGCATCAGACCTTGACTAAAGCCATGAATCACTGACCCTCGCCACAGAAGTCTTTAAATCATGATTGTACCTTTGCATGCTTTATGAAAAACTGACTACTATTCAACAAGATAACCTACCGAAATGTCAGAAAATTAGGGAGCCCTGGGTCTTGCACTTTCTGCCCTTATTTCATTAAACCTTCTTATCAATCTAAAGTCTCTTATGCACTTGGTCCTTATTTCTACCCCACCATTTCCCACCCACTGCTTTCTTTTCCTCTTTTCCTTTTTTCCTAAATCCCCCTTCCACTCCTCTCTCCCTCTTACTCCTTTTTCCACCTCTTGCCCTCTTTTCCTCCCTCACTTACTCTTGCCCTCTAATGCTAAACCCCAGTCCTCCAATTGTCCCGTCATTCATTACCATATGACTATCTGCAGATAATGGTTGGAGTGGAGCTCCTACACCAACCTTTTACCTCTTATACTCTACCTCTCTCATAATATCCTCCCTATACTACACAACTCATACCACAAGGTTTCAGCCTTACCACTCTATCTGAGACACCTACACTCGGCTTCCTTACACATTAGTCCTTAACCTGGTGCCACCCATGTAACGCATATGTGCAGCAGCAAAGAAAGTGGGCTTTAAAGGATAAGTTCACCTTCTGATAAAAAAAAAACGCAAATTTTTTTGCAAGTAAAATAATGTGCATTTATTATTTTTTGCTTCAGGAGCCTGTAATGCATTGCCCCAGCGATCAGCACATTGCTGGTGCAATGCAGGTCTCCTGCAGATCTGTCAGTATATCTGCTTGCCCGTACGGGATGTACGGACAAGCAGATATACTGACAGGAAGATTCAATGAACTACCATGATGCTCCAAAGTGCCTTGGTAGTTCATTGCTAACTACAAGCCTTAGCGGCTGCTGGGATTTGTGGTTGTGGTTTCTCATTCACAGAGGAGGACGGAGCCCTGCATGGCCAGGTTTTTTTTTAATTTGACAGCTAGCAGGGGGGAGAAGAACCCTGCTAGCTGTCAATGCGGGGGATCGGCGGGGAGTGGGGGGGTCGATATTTTCATAACACGGTAAACCCTGAATATGGGCGTAACATGTAACATGTTATAAAAGGTGAACTTATCCTTTTAATGCCCAAAAGTTGCATATATGCAACCATGGGTGGCAGAGCACACTCACTGCACATACTAAGTGCAGTGACAGATCTGTCAAAGACAGCTCTTGGTCTTTAGTAATGATCCAGAGTTGACTTCCAATCATGTGACCATTGTGACAGACAATCACAGAGGTCACGTGATAGGGCAAACCTTCCTGCCTCTCAGGACTCTGAAGCGGGGCAGGAAGCTGTTTGTACTTTATTATAAACTCATTTTGTAAATTATTTACTGCTTTTAAGCTTTTTAGAAAAAAAACAATAAAAATGATTGGAATAGAAATATTTCACTATTTACACTCAGCTTTTCTGCCATTTACATTGTGACTCCCAGGTAAGGGGGTAAAAAAACAAGGACAACATATGCCCCACCTACCTGTTTGATCTCGCCTGCATCACATACACTATGCTATATGGCCAAAAGCTTGTGAATATTTGATCATGTGTTGGACATCCCATTCCAAAACTATGGACAAATGTAGTTGTACCCATCCCCCTTTTGTAGCTATACCAACCTCCACTCTTCTAGGAAGGCTTTCCACATGACTATGGAGTGTACTTACGAAAATGTGTGCCCATTTAGCCAGAAAAGCATTAGTGAGGTCAGATATTGGGTTTGGACAAGAGTAGCTGATTCACAATGGGCTTTCTAATTTATTCCAAAGGTACTTCATTAAGGTCAGGACTCTTTGCAGGCGACTTGATACCAAACTCATCAAACCATGTCTTTATGGACCTAGCTTTCTGCATGGGGGAATGGTCATACTGGAGTAGAAAAGAGCCTTCTCCATACTGTTTTCAGGTTGGAATCACATAAGTGTCCAAAATGTCTCTGTACATTGTATCCTTCACTGGAAACACTGAGGCATCCAGCTGCTTTTAGCCATATACATATGTATGACGCAGGGGCGGACTGACAACTCATGGGGCCCCCGGGCAATAGGGGATCATGGGGCCCCTGTGTCCTTGCCCAAACTCAAAAAAGCCTATGAAAAAGGTACCAGGAGCATCTCATGGGGCCCCCTACTGACCCCGGGCCCTCGGGCAGTGCCCGAGTTTCCAAATGGTCAGTCCGCCCCTGGATGACGGTCAACTGTTCACAACCTTTTGACCATGTAGCATACATGGCATTGAAAGGGGAAAAAAAAAGTCATCTTATGTATATTTGTTCCATCTGATGGCTCCAGTCATAGCCCCTGTGTGGGTGGATAAGGTGCTTCTTGTATTACTATTCTGTTACTTTTCAATAAAATTATTGCACAAGAAAGGAAAAAAAAACACAATAATCTCTTTAATAGTCTCTTCAAGTTATTTGAAGTAGCCACCACAATCATTTCCTAACTGGTAACATACATAATTATTATCGAGGTCTAAAGCTGGCCATACACACCTTGATTCACAGGAATTTCAGTCAATGGGTGGCCCTGCAGACACCACTCAGCTCAACAAAGTTCAATTGAGAAATTGAAGGATCCAGGTGGAAAAAAGTTGGCCAAACAGTGACTGCATCCAAGCCTACGAAAAAGGTACCAGGGTCATCTCATGGGGCCCCCTACTGACCCTGGGCCCTTCGGGCAATGCCTGAGTTTCCAAATGGTCAGTCCGCCCCTGGTATGACGGTCAGCTGCAGTCACTATTTGGGTATTCTGAGAGTTGCATATGCCAGCTATAGGCATACAATATCCAGCAGGGAATATTCCTCCACTGCCACTCTTTGTAGATGGAGGAATCAGTAGACATCTTCAGTTCGCTGGGCTGAACATGAGAAACCTTTACATGTAGTCAGCTTTAGACTACAAGCCAGCAATACAGTACCTGATGGAAAATCCCACTTATTCTGGCTGTTCCAGAACTCTGTTTCCCAGCTGGGAAAACACAATGCTCAGAGACTCCCATGTGACAAGAGCATGGATACATGCTCTGTAAAGGCTGCTTATGTCAGCTTTGAATTAATCATGACACATCATTAGATTTTCTATTTAGATTCATCCGTGTTAATAGGTCTACACTGGTAAGGAGACATCCAATGACAGGAACAGTCTACAGTGCAGAACTAGCAATGATACACTGACAGTCACATTGATAGAATCCCAGCAGCAAATTAACACCCATTGCAACCTTAGGAATTGTCTGTGGAAGATATGAATCCTACTACCCGCTGTCACCAAATTTATTACCAGCCGGCAGAGCTCTCCACATCCCCGAGAGGAAAACAAGAGCCTGCTGTGCCAGTTATTGATGTGGTAACCATAGGGGAGATGGTGACTGACAGCTGCTGCTTTTACTTTTCATTCTGTGTGTGCTCTATTTCAGAAAGTCTGCACATTCAATAGTTCTTATTAATACATTAAGCTGCTGATCTACAGCCGACTTTTTATAGATGTACTCGAAAGAAACTGATTTTCAATAAAAGGTACACAACCTGGCTCATTTAATAAAGCAGTCTTCTAAGCCTGGGTTCACATATGTGCCGTGTGGTACATCGCACTTGATTCGCACAGGAACCGCACCGTATTCCTGTGCGGATCACATGCGAATTGTGTGCGGTGCGATGTGATCCATACATTTTGTATGGCTCTAATCGCACCACACCCACACCAAAAAAAAAGGTGCAGGACCCTTTCTTTGTGTCCGCACTAGAATAGGATCGCATGGGTATTCACACCTATGTGATCTGATTCTGCACATTGCACTGATTTCGGGATGTTGTTAACATACACACCCGCAGCGGTTCGCCTGAACAGGGTGTGATTGTGATGCGGTGCAGAATTCGCAGAGAAAAAGCTGCGAATTCTGCACCGCATCAGTGTGAACCCAGGCTAAAGGGCAACAATCAAGTGAAAGCTGCATTAACCCATGGTATCCAGATTTGTGTTTACCATTTGATCAGTTATGATCGATTTATGTTTTTTTTGTTTTTTTCTTGGGTTTCCATATCAATATTTCATAATTACCATCACTTGCAGTCAGTAGACAGCAAATGTGAGGCTGCTGTTCTACGTTTTCTTAAACCTAGTTTACTGCTATGCAGTGAATAGCCTCTTCTTTGACTGGATCTAAGTAGCAACATATCAGAATGGGCAAAAATAGCGAAGGGACATATCCACTGTGAACATGGATCACTTTGATATTTCCTCTGCAGTGGAAAATATTAGAAAGCCCAGAATGGTTTGCAACTTTCAGAAGTTTATTTGTAACGATTGGATATCAATAGTCTCTAAATTAAAATAAATAAAAGGAAATAGACAAAATACATTAAAGTGAATGTGAAGGCACAATTTTTATTTTTAAAAAAATAAAAAAACATCATTCTTACCTGCTCTGTGTAATGGTTTTACACAGAGCAGCTCCGATCCTCCTCTTCTCAGGTCCCCTGCCGGCGTTCCTAGCTCCTCTCCCTGCCGAGTGCCCTCCAAGCTGCTTGATATGGGGACACTTGTCCATGCTTGCTTCCGAGCCAGCTCTGTGTGTCCATACACAAAGCACACATAGAGCAGCTCGCACCCCCTCCCCTCCTCACTGGCTGTGATTGACAGCAGCAGAAGCCAATGGCTCCCATTCCTGCCTCTCTGTCCAATGAGAAGAGAGATGAGAAAGCCGCTGCTCTTGTGCACATCACTGCATCAGGAAGGTCTCAGGTAAGTATTTGGGGGGGGGGGGGGCTGAGGGAGGGGAACTATATGCAGGTTTTTTTTATACCTTAATGCATAGAATGCTTTAAGGTGAAAAACCTTCTGCCTTTAGAACCACTTTAAGCCTTCCTAATGTGGCTCGAATTTCAGCTAATTTCTGCTGAATTGTCTGAAATTTGAGCTGTGGGTGGCCCTGTCAGCACCATTGGGCTCAGCAAAATTCAATTTTTCTATTGACTTTTGCAGAAGGAGGCAGGTAGAAAATTGGCGGCCAATTAGCTGCAGTAACTGTTCAGGTATTCGGACAGCCTCGGGTCTCGGCACACAATAGCCAGCAGGGAAGATTCCCTCATTCACACTGTTTAGTGTGGATGGAGGAATTTTTTAGATTTCTCTCCTTTGATCAATCTTCAAATTACTTTTTTGTCAGGAGCCGGGTGGAAAAGTATTGGCCAGTGACTGCAACCAATCAGATGCATTCACTTTTTGGGTATTCTGACAGCCTTGGGTGTTGGATTACAATAGCCGGCAGGAGAATTTTCTTCATCTTTGCTGTTTATCGTGGATGGCAGAAATCTGATTTCTCTCCTTCATTCCACAGATGAATCTATACGCTATTTACTTCACTAGTAAATTACAGGTCTGCTTTAACGTGACTGGAAAAAGAAGCAAAGGAAGTCAATTCTCAGTAAACAAAGACAGGATTAATCTCCTCTATATCAGCAGGATACTCACTTCTCCACCATGTTTTTACTCTTGAGGATGTGATTGAGCTCCGCTGAGGTTTGTGGTCCCTGCAGTTTCTGTCCATTCAGCATCTCATTCTCTAGCTGCTCTATGGACTGCAATACAAATGTCATTAGTTAGTGACTGTGAGCGGTACACAGAGTACAACAACATCTGACGGAAGACAAAATATTTCAATTTAATGAAGGAAGAAAAAAGGCTAAATGCTGAAGCTGCAAAGACAACTCTCATTACAAGTTGACGTTCTGCCTTCATCTGTTTTTTTTCTCTATCCTATTTTTGATACATTAATATATACGGAAGGATCATTTCCATCTCTCGGCTGAGCATTTCCAAAACGAGTACAGTCCTTATTTGTCAAGACTGGGGGGAAGAACTGACACTCTATGCTTCCCCAACAACCAATACAATTTTCCCTTTCAGTCTCCCGGTACAGAATAGGAGAAGGACAACAAAACTCCGTTACCAATGGACACCACAGACTAGACTTTCTCAACCTTTTTAACATGGAGGAACCCTACAAATAACTTTCCAGTCTCAGCAAACCCCTGATAATAATGACTCTGTCTATAACTCATGGTACTTTAGTGGTTTAGTTACTGGGAAGGATGCTCCTTACATTTGTAGTCATTGGGAAGAATCCCTGCCCTTTCACTATGATTGGTTTTACGTGCACTTTTGGGGCTTAAAAAGCAGAGGAAAAATGCATGAAAAAGATATCCCTTTAAATCCTATGGAACTCTTCACACCAGTTTGCTGCAGTTATATGTCGTTTTTGAAAGCCCCGCATGCTGCATTCTTGGTGCATGTTTAAAAAGTGCACTAAAAACACACCTCCCGATTGAAATGAATGGAAAATGCATAAAAAAATGCACCAAGGTAAGGTTTTTGGTGTGCTTTTTGAGTTATATGTCCATGTTTCACAGGTAAATAATTGGAGACATGCAACAGAAAACGCACCAAAAATGCATCAAAAACACTCCACAAATGCATATGCCCCAGACACTCATTCTGAGACATTCACTCTCTGACAGCTTGAAAAATGAGGTTTCACAGGTCCCCAGCCTGGACCGGCTGTCAGCTGAAAACGGGTCATAGGAGTGCAGAACGTACTGCTCTCCTGTAATCCATAGGAGAAGTACAGCCAAGAGAGCTTTGGCTGTACTTCTCCTTTAACAAAACTAATGCTGAAGCCACATCTAAGGACTGGCGAGCTGCAATAAATTACATTTTTGCTCTTGGGTTTAGGTATGCGTTAACATACAATACAAGCAAGCTGTTGGTTGCACTAGATGGTCTTGTGGTTTTTTTTCTATTTCAATATTTTTATTGAGAAAGTTTTGTTTTAAGAATACAACAAGCTCAAAATACACCCACGCAGGGGCAGAGCAGAACAATAACACAAACAGATATATCCTGCTGACTTGTATTAGCCAAATAACAGAATGTCCATTGACATCAAGGAGGGATGGCAAAAAGCCGAACCAAACAATAGTAGCAGCAATCCATCATATTACCGGAAAAAGGAAAAGAAAAAAAAAAGTTAGAAAGAAGGAAAAAGAAAACATAAAAAACATAGAAAAAAATAAGAAAAAAAGAAAGAATCAGAAATAAAGCATGGAGGAAAAGAAGACTAGAATAATCACAGATCCAGGGCTAGCACAGGCAATGACTATAAGAGGCCATAATTAGTAGGAGGCAGGGATGGCAGGGAATAAACGTATCCAAGGTTCCCAAACCTTAAGGAATCTCAGATAAGAATCATGAAGAACGATAGACATCTGTTAATTGATTGGCCGAAATAAATAGGTAGGATGCCAATTTCTGCTGAGACCTAGACAGACCCAAAATTGGGCAATGCAGGAGGGACACCCTTGCATCCCTACAGACCGTAATATGAAGTAATGTTTGCAGCAAATCAAAAACCCTAGACCAGAAGCCTATCAATTGCAGGCACGACCACCAAATGTGCAAGACGTCCCCACGTAGACCACAGTTCCGGAAACACCTATTTCCACCAATCGGATTAAAGTGAGCATTCCGAGCCGGGACACAGTACACTGCAGGAGAACTTTGTAGGCTGCCACAAGAGTGATGGTATTGAAGGAACATTTCACCACCATCCCCCAGGCCCTACACCAATCTTCCACCGCAATCGAGAAACCCAGATCTCGCTCCCATTGAGAGACATAAGACAGGGGTGGTGAGGAGGACCTACTGTTAAGAGAGGCATAAATTACAGAAATGAGACCAGGGGACCCTGGGGAATGCTGACAAGCGTGCTCAAAGGGCATTTTGCGGTAAGGACATGTAGAGGTACGACGGAGAGACAGGACCCAGTGGCGCAATTGCAAATACCGATAATATTCCCGTAGCGGGACCCCCCCGTGATTCTCGAAGAGACTCCCATGATGAAAACGTACGAGCGCTCAGAAAATCATGTACAATAACAAAGCCATGGGATGTCCACCAAGAGAAAGAAGGGGGAATTCTAGGCCTGGTGGAAATAAAGGATTAGGCGTAATTGGCAAAAGAGGTAGAAACGATGATATCAAATTACCCGAATATTTAACAGAATCCCAGGTTCGTAAACTATGAAGCATGATAGGGCTCAAATCCGGAGGGCTCAACTTAGGTAGGAGCCAAAGCAATGTAGTTAAGGAAAGCGGAGCACAGTTGGGTAATTCCAAGGAGTACCCATAATGGGATATCTGTCGTGGCATGAAGCATAGACAACTGGGAAATCTGAGCCGCCAAGTAGTATCTAGAAACATGTGGAACTCCCAAACCTCCCTGCAATCTATGAGTATAAAGAGTGGCTCTAGGCACTCTGGTGTGGGTTTTTTTTTCAACCAAACTATGTGAGTATGTAACTATGTAAGATATCTACATCCAGATGTACATTTCCATGACTTTGTAACTTTTATAACTCCATAAGAGAGCTGTCATCCACTTGCTCAGCGGAGAGATTGAACGCTAAGCAAGCGGATCTGCTAAATGGGTCTGCCCCGTGTGAAAGGACCCTAACCCCAGCTCTAGATAACAGTTAACTGTTGGCAGCCAATGGGCCATGTAGTCTGACAGCAGAGGATCTCAGCTGTCAGAATACAATGTCTCAGCTGGGAGGATTATCCTATCCACCTTGATTATGTGGATGGAGGAATCTGTTTTTTGTTTGCTTGTACTATAATACTGCACAATGTTGTAAATTTAACAGGTTTTCCGGCATTGAGGGCTGGGGGTGCTCAGTCAGCTTACAGGAGGAATATTAGAAGACAGAGTGGACAATGAGATGGTTCTCTTTCATCACCCAGTGATCAGGAAAGGTGACACAGGAAGCTAGAAAGCTACAAGAGGAAGCATTAGCATCAACCTCACTGGCTATGCAGAGTGGGAAGTGGGTGAGACCAGATGTACAAAATTAGTTCATAGTTTGTTTTTTACCTTTATGCATTCTCTGCATGTAAAAAAATGTGCATTTATTATTTGCTGCAGGGATGTAAGAGCAAGCAGATATGGTAACAGGAAGATTCATTGAACCACCACAATTCTCCACAGCACAATGGTAGTTCATTGAGACCTACAAGCTGACAACTGCTAAGGCTGTCGGGACTTGGAGTTTCTCAATCAGAGTGACGCAGGCAAGCGGAGCCCTGCACGGCCGCATTTTTTAAAATTTGACAGCTAGCGGGGGGGTTGGTTGGAGAGAAGATCTCCTGCTAGCTGTCAAAGCAGGGGATTGATGGGGAGCGAGGGCCTTTGCTTTTATAACATGTTACACCCTGAATATGGGTGTAGCATGTTATGAAAGGTCAACTTAGGGTAAAAAACCTTCTGTGTGCAGGTCCCCCAAGCCCCCCCATTACTTACCTGAGCCTCATCTCAATCCAGCACTGTGCACGGGAGCCTCGACTCTCCAGGGTCTCTCCCTCCTCATTGGCTGAGACAGCCAATGGCCCCCGCTGCTGTTAATCACAGCAAGTGAGGAGGGAGCAGGGGGAGGGGCCAAAGCATGCTATATTGGTATCATAGACACACAGAGGCGGCTCGGGAGCGAGGACGCACAAGTGCCCCTAGAGCAAGCAGCTTGCTCTGGGGGCATTCAGTATTGGGGAGGGGCCAGAACCACCGGGGAGGGAAACCCGTGCAGAGGAGGATTTAAAATAAAAAAAACAAAAAAACAAACATATACTTACCTGCTCTGTGTAATGGTTTTGCACAAAGCAGGTAAGTATATGTTTGTTTTGTAAAGTGGACCTTTAGTATCACTTTAAAGCAGCTCCGTCGCTAGAATAAAACTGGGTATACGGCTAAACTTTTTTTTTTTCACAGGTTGAATGATAAAAAAAAAAAAAGGACAGATATAAAATATATATAAACACAAGTAATGTTGATGCAGGGATTCACCACTGTTCTATTGTGTTCCTCTGGGAGAACTCACTCCCCCCCTAACAAGAATACACAGATAAACACTTGCAGCATTCAGATTTTGTTGTCTGTGTCACCCTAAAACAGAATTTTTTTTCTGAGCACAAATATGATATTTTCAAGAAGGCGATATAAAGGGCACATTAGAGTCCACATTGCTGTGCTTGAGTTGAACAGTACAGGCATCTGGCCTCCCACAGCAAATGAAGCCATATAACCGAGATAAAGACAGTAGAAGTGAACAGAACATTGCTTAAACTTTCCCCTCTATATCTAGACAAGAGTCATGATTTCACAACAATACAAAGAACTGCCTGCGGTTGCCGTCTGACAGCATTACAGAGTGCATGTCGTAATAAATTAGCACCAATAAGCCTGATGAAGGGAACATATTGCAAAATTCTAACCCAATACCAGTGGAGAGATTTATAGATTTATTCTGTACAGTATTCCAGAGAGCACAGGGTGTGTACACAGTGCAACTACCTAATGCAGCCAATCAGATGTTAAATCAGTTAAAGTATACTGAGATCTAAAGCCTAAGTTTAGTTACATTTTTTTTTTTAATCAAGTGATTATTTTAATTAAGGGACGATGCTTACATTCAATGAGAAGTGTCCTTTGTGCTCGTGGCTGCTCTCTTAGTTAAAATTATTATTATTATTATACAGGATTTATATTGCGCCAACAGTTTGCTCAGAGCTTTACAATATAAAGGGAGACATTATTATTATTATACAGGATTTATATTGCGCCAACAGTTTGCTCAGAGCTTTACAATATAAGGGAGACAATACAGCAATGATACAGTTCAATACAAGAGCTTACAATCTAAGAGGGAGGGGCTAGTGGTACAAAAGGTAGTAACTGTGGGGGATGAATTGGTAGGAGGAATAGAAGATTTCATTATTAGCGAAAGGCAGGATAGGCTTCCCTGAAGAGATAGGTTTTCAGAGATCACCTAAAAGTGAGCAGAGTAGGCAATAGTCTGATAAATTGGGGCAGAGAGTTCCAGAGGATGGGTGAAGCTCTGGAGAAGTCCTGGAGACGAGCATGGGAGGAGGAGACAAGGGAGCTAGAGAGCAGGAGGTCGTGCGAGGAGTGGAGAGTACGGTTTGAGTGATATTTGGAGAAATCTTCTGTCCCCACCCCCCAATACCCCTACAGCAGTAATCTCGCAGTGCTGCAGGGGTTAATACAAGCCGCTAGACCTGTCATAGATACTCCTCAAGAGTGCTAACTATAGCCCTTTGATTGGTTGCCAACAAGTGCTGTACTGTAATCTTTGCATTGCCTTGCTGAAGAGGAACTTTTGATGTGGATAATTCAACAAAAATAACAAGTTTATTATTAACGCAAAGAGTAATATGTAAAGCTCAGTAATCCATAAGAACCAATCAGGAATGCTCTCATTGTGCTCAGTACTCTAAAGTGCTGAAATCTGACGTACACCATCCCTTTAGTAGTAGTATTGCTGTGTGTGTCACAGAAAGGACTCGTCTATACCATTTTATACTATAACAACACAGCACAATTTAATGGCGTGTAGACAGCTTGTGAAAAGTGTTGAAGCGTCTTGCAGCCTTTTAGATTCCTATGCCATTGCTTTAATTGTGTAAAAAAAAAAAAAATTAATACCAAACATGCCTGTGTATATTTAGCATCAGAAAATATTACTTTTTTTTTTTTTTTGCACCTTTTTTTTATAAATCATCTCTTTATAGGCCCCAGGATTAAGGGACACACTCTATGGGGGTTCTTTATTTATTAAGATGGTGGTAAAAGCAACAAAGGGCCATTTACCATAGCAACTGCAGGATTAAATTTTACTGCTGGTGTGAAAGAAATTTTAAACTCTACATATTGGTATTTCATTTTGTATGTTTAGTCGACTGCAACCAATGTCCTTGGCATTATACTAACTCTTCTGCCACGTACTCACTTTCCTAGGGCGCTGATAAGAAACTAGCCCAACTACAATTGTAATATTGATGTAACAAACCATAAATAGATAGGCGCTTGCTCAATACAATAAATATCATATACTTGAAAAGTGCTCTCCCAACACCATGTGAATAGTTAACTAATACAGGGTATAGTGAAGATTCTTTATACGTAGATGAATGGAAGTCCCATATAAGGGTATCACATAATTCAAAAAAATTTTTCTCCACCAAGTGTGAGTAACAGATGAATTTCTCACTCACCAGAAGGTGTTGACCCCCCATTGGGTGGTCAAATACGCTATTTAATCAAGTAATATGTAGATTCCTAACTGCAGGCTCTCATGGGATGAATCTCCTGGCTCCCTTATTATTATTGGCTCTCCAAAAAACAGAAGGTATTGACCCCCGTATAGGTGGGTGGTCACAGAACGCTGGGCAATCTAATGATGTGTAGATTCCCAACTGTAGGCTCTCACCAGATAAATCTCCAAGCACCCCTTATATGAATGGTTCTCCAGAAAGATATGTATATGTAACAAAGTCTGCTTACTTTATTCATTTTTAGGAATTACAAATGTTGGTGGAGCACAAAGGCAATGCCACATTTTTTTTAGCAAAGGACAGGGGTAGGCATCTTTGGAGATGTCCTACCTGATAGGATCTACCAAAATACACTTCTTTCTGGCACCTAGGACACTTGGGCATGTTGATTCTGATGATGTAGGGAACTGAAACCTATTATTAACCTAATATTGATGTGTATTCCAAGTAAGCATGGTTATAAAAAGAAACCTAGAATAAGCAGAAAAGGTATTTGGAAAGATGCTGTGTGTATCTTTTTTTGTCTATTCCCTACTACAGTAGTAATTATTCATTTGAAATCACTGATCAATATTAACATAGCAGTGACTTATCTATAAAATTTCCAAGATACCAATTAATGAAATCTAAAAAATTAATTCTCTCGTCAGCTTGATTGCTTTTCTTGGATTTATGATGATGGAGTTAGTCAGCTTTTGATATGCAAACCAGTTCTGTTGTCCATTTCTCCAGAAACATTTTACAATGTGTAAACAGCAGTCTACCCGCAAGACAATGCTGGAAAAATAATTTCCCATGTTCCTACCTTTCCAGTGCGTGCAAAGGCTTCACCAATTTTTCTGTTCCTGCCGCCATAACATGTTGTGATGAGATCAGCAACGCCGCAGCTCTCCAGGAAGGTGGCAGACGTTACCGGTGGGGCACAAAATAGTTTGGCAAAGGCAATCATCTCCATCAATCCGAGCCTGATGACGGCAGCCTTTGTGTTATCTCCAAATCCAAGACCATCGCAGAAACCAGCTCCCACAGCGACAATGTTCTGAAATGGAAAGATAGTAATTCCAATACTTTTAATTTATTTTCTTTATTTATAATGTCTACTAGACACAGATCTATTGCTAAACTTCAGACAGATATATAAAAGGCAGCTGTGAAGAGAGCCAGCACACCAGAAAGTAGATTCTGAAGCAAATAAAGTTACACCAACGTTTTGAGAGCATGGTAGCCCTCTTTTTGGGACTTTTAAGGATTCAGGGTTTTAAAAAAAAAAAAAAAAAAAAGCAAACATGTCATACTTACCTGCTCTGTGCAATGGTTTTGCACAGAGCAGCCCCAATTCTCCTCCTTTCCTCAGGTCCCCTGTCGGTGCTCCTGGCTCCCCCCCACCTTCAAGTACATCCCCAGCCATACATCCATAGACACAGACAGCGGGGCTCTTTGCTCAGCTCGTCCTAGGATTTGATTATGTACCTAGTGATTTTGTGCACTGTGCTGGATGGAAATCAGGTTCAGATAAATATAAGGGGGGATCCTAGACACAGTAGGTATTTTTACCTTAATGCAGACAATGCATTACGGTAAAAAAAAAAAACCTTGAGGCTTTAAAACCACTTTCAGTAAATCCTGCTTTAGAATCTCCTTCTCAGTGTTCTGGTTTTCTGATCATTGCTGAATTTTGGATGGTATCACCATAAAGCCATGCACCCTCCCTTTACAAGGGTTACCTATGGATATCAGCGCTATATGGTTTGATGAATTGTTAAAGGAGGGGAGATGTAATCCTGCAGGAGCTTGTAGACCCCTGGAGCCCAACCTGCAGCCTGAGGGCCACACTTGGCCCTTTGGTATATGATGTGCAGCCCTCAGATCTCAGAAGTCTGTAGTGGGAACACTGACTAGGACAGGGGTAGGCAACCTGCGGCTCTCCAGCTGTTGCAGGACTACAAGTTCCATCATGCCTCTCTGCAAGTCATAGCTGTAACTGTCAGTTCTGTAATGTTTCAATGCCTCATGGGAAATGTAGTTCCCCAACAGCTAGAGAGCTGCAGGTTGCCTACCCCTGGACTAGGATAATAGCACTGAATAGCTTCGTATAACATATTCCCAGTTTCATACTGTCTTCTGCAGCATATCCCCAGCCAAAAATGTAGCATGTCCACATGCTACATGTCTCAAATCATCATTTCCTCTAGTACAGTGGTTCTCAACCTTTCTAATGCCGCGACCCCTTAATACAGTTCCTCATGTTGTGGTGACCTCCAACCATAAAATTATTTTCGTTGCTACTTCATAACTGTAATTTTGCAGTGGGAGGAATAGTGCCACATCATTGGTGTCAGTGGGATGAATAGTGTCCCATCATTGGTGTCAGTGGGAGGAATAGTGTCCCATCATTGGTATCAGTGGGAGGAATAGTGCCCCATCGTTGGTATCAGTGGGAGGAATAGTGTCCCATCGTTGGTGTCAGTGGGAGGAATAGTGCCCCATCATTGGTGTCAGTGGGAGGAATAGTGCCCCCATCATTGGTGTCAGTGGGAGGAATAGTGCCCCATCATTGGTATCAGTGGGAGGAATAGTGCCCCATCATTGGTGTCAGTGGGAGGAATAGTGTCCCCATCATTGGTGTCAGTGGGAGGAATAGTGTCCCATCATTGGTGTCAGTGGGAGGAATAGTGCCCCATCGTTGGTATCAGTGGGAGGAATAGTGCCCCATCGTTGGTATCAGTGGGAGGAATAGTGCCCCATCATTGGTGTCAGTGGGAGGAATAGTGCCCCATCGTTGGTATCAGTGGGAGAATAGTGCCCCATCGTTGGTATCAGTGGGAGGAATAGTGCCCCATCATTGGTGTCAGTGGGAGGAATAGTGCCCCATCGTTGGTGTCAGTGGGAGGAATAGTGCCCCATCATTGGTGTCAGTGGGAGGAATAGTGCCCCATCATTGGTGTCAGTGGAAGGAATAGTGCCCCATCATTGGTGTCAGTGGGAGGAATAGTGCCCCATCATTGGTGTCAGTGGGAGGAATAGTGCCCCATCATTGGTGTCAGTGAGAGGAATAGTGCCCCATCATTGGTGTCAGTGGGAGGAATAGTGCCCCATCATTGGTGTCAGTGAGAGGAATAGTGTCCCATCATTGGTGTCAGTGGGAGGAATAGTGCCCATCATTGGTGTCAGTGGGAGGAATAGTGCCCCATCATTGGTGTCAGTGGGAGGAATAGTGCCCCATCATTGGTGTCAGCGGGAGGAATAGTGCCCCATCATTGGTGTCAGTGGGAGGAATAGTGCCCCATCATTGGTGTCAGTGGGAGGAATAGTGCCCCATCATTGGTGTCAGTGGGAGGAATAGAGCCCCATCATTGGTGTCAGTGGGAGGAATAGTGCCCCATCATTGGTGTCAGTGAGAGGAATAGTGCCCCATCATTGGTGTCAGTGGGGGGAATAGTGCCCCATCATTGGTGTCAGTGGGGAGGAAATAGTGTCCCATCATTGGTGTCAGTGGGAGGAATAGTGCCCCATCATTGGTGTCAGTGGGGGGAGGAATAGTGCCCCATCATTGGTGTCAGTGGGAGGAATAGTGCCCCATCATTGGTGTCAGTGGGAGGAATAGTGCCCCATCATTGGTGTCAGCGGGGGAGGAATAGTACCCCATCATTGGTGTCAGTGGGAGGAATAGTGCCCCATCATTGGTGTCAGCGGGGAGGAATAGTGCCCCATCATTGGTGTCAGTGGGGGAGGAATAGTGCCCCATCGTTGGTATCAGTGGGGGAGGAATAGTGCCCCATCGTTGGTGTCAGTGTGGGGAGGGGGGAATAGTGCCCCATCATTGGTGGTCAGGGGGGGGAATAGTGCCCCATCATTTGGTGTCAGTGGGGGGGGAATAGTGTCACATCATTGGTGTCGGTGGGGGGAGGAATAGTGCCCCGTTCTTGGTGTCAGTGGGGGGAGGAACAGTGCCCCATCGTTGGTGTCAGTGGGGGAGGAATAGTGCCCCATCGTTGGTGTCAGTGGGGGAGGAATAGTGCCCCATCGTTGGTGTCAGTGGGGGGGAATAGTGCCCCCATCGTTGGTGTCAGTGGGGGGAGGAATAGTGCCCCATCGTTGGTGTCAGTGGGGGGAGGAATAGTGCCCCATCGTTGGTGTCAGTGGGGGGAGGAATAGTGCCTCATCGTTGGTGTCAGTGGGGGAGGAATAGTGCCCATCGTTGGTGTCAGTGGGGGGAGGAATAGTGCCCCATCGTTGGTGTCAGTGGGGGGGAGGAATAGTGCCCCATCGTTGGTGTCAGTGGGGGGGAATAGTGCCCCATCGTTGGTGTCAGTGGGAGGTGGAATAGTGCCCCATCGTTGGTGTCAGTGGGGGAATAGTGCCCCATCATTGGTATCAGTGGGAGGAATAGTGCCCCATCATTGGTGTATCAGTGGGAGGAATAGTGCCCCATCATTGGTGTCAGTGGGAGGAATAGTGCCCCATCATTGGTGTCAGTGGGAGGAATAGTGCCCCATCATTGGTGTCAGTGGGAGGAATAGTGCCCCATCATTGGTGTCAGTGGGAGGAATAGTGCCCCATCGTTGGTGTCAGTGGGAGGAATAGTGCCCCATCATTGGTGTCAGTGGGTGGGAATAGTGCCCCCATCGTTGGTGTATGTGTGGGAGAAATAGTGCCCCATCGTTGGTATTAGTGACACAAATGATGGGGCACTATTCCTCCCACTGACACCAATGATACTTACCTTGCTGACCCCTGCTCCAGCCTGGGCTCGCTCTCTCCCTCTCCCATCTACAGCCTGCATACCTGGCTGCAGCAGCAAAATTTGCACTTACCTGTCAGCTGTCTTCCTTCTCTGGCCGCTCTCCTCTTCACTTGCTCCGGCAGCTCCCTCGATCTTCTTTGATCTACGCGCTGCCGCTCGGCTCCTCCTCTCCAAGCTCCACCTCCTCGCCGGTGATTGGCCGCCTGTGTGCCTCTCCTGAGCTACAGTTTCCGGTGGCCAATCAGCGGCGAGGAGGCGGAGCTGTTGAGTGATCCCGGAGGTGTGGCCAGGTGACAGGGGCAGCATATCATCCCGCCCACACATCGCCTGAGACAGAGGAGCGGTGTCTCGGTTCCTAAGACCATCGGAAATATGTGTTTTCCGATGGTCTTAGGCGACCCCTGTGAAATGGTCGTTCGACCCCCAAAGGGGTCGCGACCCCCAGGTTGAGAACCGCTGCTCTAGTAGGTCTGCAGTTTCTGACAGTCCTCTCAAGCATTACATATACTGAACATTATGTGCCACCTTTTGTGGATGTCAAGGGTTGCATTTGAGGCCCCCTTTAACTTATTAGTTGACAACCACTGATGTAGACGGAGAAGGGTCAATGCTTAGCTAAGCAGTGCTCAACTGCTTTACATAGTGCTGTCCATGAACATGCTTACAGGAGGTAAGAGCAAACAGATGACCTAGGATTCTGCTGCTTCTTCAGGGTCTAGTCATAAGGTGGGGGTATGTCCTGGACCAGGCTCTATTGCTTTACTACATGCCTGGGGCTTCATGGTTTGGCTTTGCTGTCTGCCATGGATGTGTGTATCACAAGACTGCCTGTAGAACACCATGAACACTTCGGCAAGTAAAAAGGTTCACGTGTGTATTTAGCGGTTTGCCCAGAGTTTGGCTTTAACGTGACAGCCTGATTATGTTTAAGAAAATCTGGCAGTTTGCAGATGGTAGACCGCAGAACAAATCATGGGTTGGCAGTTGTCTAACTTGGCTCAGTATTTGGGTTCAGCTGATGAGCGTTGTTTCAGTAATACACACATGAATGGCCCTATAGCCTCCAACTGTGTCTATGATGATTGAACATAGAACACAGTGCATATAGAAAAAGTCTTATTGTGCACATGATCAGATCCTTGCATCCCCATGAATGAAGATGTGCACCGTCTACCGACCTACATTCTGAGCATTACAGCTTGTATATACCATGTCTCAGGTTTGGCAACGCCAATAGGAAGATGCATCTGGAAAGCTTCATCTATTCTGCTTGTGAGTACCTGCCAGATTTTGTA